GCGTTTGTTATAGAGCGACTGTTGAAATTAAGTGTATCGTAAAGTTGTATTCGGAAAGAATAAACCAGTTTTATTTAAGAAAGGACTTGTGTCGCTAAAGTTTCATAGGAACGTATTTACGGAAAATTAACTAATGACTGGAGGCGTAACAGTATAATTAAAACCTTAATTTCGTGTGTGGGACTGAAGAGGAACAACTCTTTCTGAGCGCCCCTGGTTGTTTGTTTTAAAACCCTAATTTGCCAAGTTGAGATAGATAGATGGTTTTCGCTGCTCACCGTCTATCCGAGACATGATACTAGATTATATATAATTATCAAGTGTTCTTTGTATTGGTTTATAATATTTTTATATTTAATAATTATTGTTTATACATTCAGTTTAATTTAATATTAAATTAGATTATTTATTAATTTAGTTTTATCTAAAAATTTGGTGGGACCGAAATTACAACGAAGGGTGCTCAGAAACTAATGTTTCTGAGCACCCTTCGTTGTCAAACAAGCATCTACTAGATTTGTTTGTTTTAAACCTTAATCATTGCCAAGTTGAGATAGATAGATGTTTTTCGCGGCTCACCCGCTATCCGAGACATAATACGAGGTTATTGTTACATATCTGCTTGTTTGTTAATTTGTACACTTTAATCCTGTCTCTTGTGGTTCAACAACTTATAAACAACTACCACATTCAATAGTAGTTACTGTTTGTTCCAAGTTATTCACAACACACTAGACAACAGTATGTTTTCTCTCAAGTATTTTTAATCTATCTGTTGTTACAAACTTTTCAATAAACTGAAAAACTGTAAGTTATCTTTACAGTATGTATTCCTTTATGATATTTTAAAACATTATTTGTTCTAAACTCTTTATTACATACTACACAACTGTAAGGTCTCACCCCAGTATGTATTCCCTTCATGTTTTGTTAAGTTAAGAGTTACTATGAAATTGCTTTCTACAAAACTCACAAATTCAGAGTTTCTATTAATTATGTATACATTCATATGTTAAGGAACTACTTTATTCAGTCTTTTCCACACATTGTACAACTATAAGGATTCTCCTTTTTTCCCAAGCAGATAATACAGTTTTTCCTCAGTGTGTACTTTCATGTATTTTTAAAGCACTCTTTGTTACAAACTGTTTCTGCAATCTGTACAGTTGTAATGTTTCTCCCCACTGTGTATTCTTTCATGTACTTTTAAAAGATCCTTTTCTCTAAACCGTTTTTCACACAATATATAACTGTAAGGTTTCAGTCCAGTGTGTACTCTTTCATGTACTTTTAAATGACTGCTTGTTCCAAACTGATTTTCACACACTATATAACTGTAAGGTTTCTCCCCAGTGTGTTTTCTTTCATGTCTTTTTAAGTGACCATTTGTTCCAACCATTTTTCACACACTGTACAACAGTAAGGTTTCCAAAACCGTGTATTTTTTCACATATTTGTAAATAATCCTTGTTTCCAAACCGTTTTTCACCCACACTGTATAACTGTAAGGTTTCACCCTACTGTTTATTCTTTCATGTACTTTTAATTGCTTCTTCATTCTAAACTGTTTTCCACACTCTGTATAACTGTAAGGTTTCTCCCCACTATGTATTCTTCCATGTTCTTTTAAATGATACTTTTCACTAAACC